CATTTCAATAACATACATGTATTAGAACATAAACCCTTTGAAAACAAGTTATTTTTCTAACACAGATATCAAGTCCTTCGCCATTACCAACAGAGAAAAAGAGCCTTCCAAACAGTCTAAATATATGAGTGGAAACTAAGCATGAAGAAGTGATCTGGACTTCACAAGTAAGGACTTTAAATACGCATTTGCGATTGAAGTATTTTGCTGTTATTTGAACTGTCATGAGCTGGCCAACGTTTTAACCCACACTTCTGTAACAAAATGAAGCAAACCCCCAGTGCCCTTGCCCTTAGCCTTCCCAGCACATGACTTCAAATCTTCAGGTTTGTCACACATACATGGAATTGTCACTTGCAGTACATAAAAAGTCATACAGACCCTTCTAGTAAGCAAAGCTCCCACTTTCTAAATGCTTACCTCTAACAAGTAGAACAATGAAAAATGATAATTTGAATCTCATAAAGGAGATCTGCAACAGTGCAGCATATCAAGTGAAATTAGAAGCAACTGAAAACTTGAAAGAAAGTAATGGAAACTTCTGCTTTTTATCCTCATTTTCATCAACAATTAAACTAATGTTTTCACTAAATTTCTAGAATTAAGAAATGAGCCTAACATGGTACATATGAGAAACAAGATTCTCAAAATACAACAGAATCATAGAACACCAGGTTGGAAGGGACCTCATGGATTGTCTGGTCCAACCTTTCTTGGCAAAAGCACGGTATAGACAAGACCCAGTACCCTGCTCAGCCAAATTTTGAGTGTCCAATGTTGGGGAATCCACCACTTCCCTGGGGAGATTATTCCAATGGCTGATTGTTCTCATTGTGAAAAATCTTCCTCTTGTGTCAAATCAGCATCTCCCCAGGAGTAACTTGTACCCATTACCCCTCATCTTTTCCATGTGACTCCCTGTAAAAAGGGAGCCTCCATCTTCTTTGCAGCCACCCTTTAAATACTGGAACATGGTGATGAGGTGTCCTCTGAACCTTTTCTCACAGCTGACCAAACCCAGTTCTCTCAGCCTTTCCTCATGTGGCAGGCTTCCCAGGCCTTTGATCACCTTTGTGGCCCTTCTCTGGACCCTCTCCAGCCTGTCCACGACTTTTTTGTGTAGCGGGGACCAAACCTGCACACAGTATTCCAGGTGTGGCCTGGCAAGCGCTGCGTAGAGTGCGATAATGATTTCTTTATCGCTGCTGGTGACACCCTTGTTGATGTAACCCAGCATCCTGTTGGCTTTCTTTGCCGCAGCAGCACACACTGTTTGCTCATATTGAACCTGTTGTCCACGATCACCCCCAGGTCCCTTTCCACAGATGGGTGAATCTCAGCCTATGCTGTATTCTGGGATCATGTTTTCCCAGGTGCAAGACCTTACACTTGTCTTTGTTGAACTTCATAAGGTTCCTGTGAGCCCACTCTTCCAGCCTATCCAGGTCTTCCTGCAGGGTTGCTCTCCCCTCAGAAGTGTCCACTTCCCCACTCAGTTTGGTATCATTGACAAACTTCAGCAGGGTACGCTTGATCCCATCATCCAGATCACTGATGAAGATACTAAACATCGCTGGGCCCAATATCGATCCCTGGAGAACCCCACTTGTGACAGGTTGCTGGTTTGAAAAGCAGCTATTTACCACCACCCTCTGGGTGCAGCCTGTCAGCCAGTTCCCCACCCACCACACAGACCATTTGTCTAGACCATAACACATCAGGAGCAGAAAAATCATTGTGGATGAGTTTAATCTGTAAAAGGGAGTTTAGTTATTTTATAAATAAATTGCTCTGAAATTGTCTGACAAACACCATAAAATACTGTATTTTTCACTGGGATTTCAGTCAGCTGCATTTTGAATAAATAAATGTAAAAGAAATAAAATCTCTGTATTGTAAGGTTAATAATCAAAAGGCTCAGGACAGAAAATAAAATATCAAAAGTAATACAATTTCTTCCCTTCAAGTGAATAAAATGTAAATAAAAGGAAGATAGGGCTTTGAAAAATCTTGTGAAACAAACTTTTAGGTGTAAAGGAAGATAGTTAACTGAGAAATTCCTTTCCAGTCCTGTTTCATATCAAATAACTTGAAAAATAACCAACCTCTTAACATAAGACCCCATTAAGATCCACTTAGAAGATTAAAGACACTACTTTAAAAATACTTTATTGCTTCTATGTCTCTATATACAGTATATACACAACTGGTGCAAGTGGTAATAAGACAATAATAGAAAGAAAAACTCATTTATAGTACAACTGAATGACATATAGAAGCATAGTGTCCCCAGTCTTCATCTTAAAACATGCGTAACTCCTCAGTTTCTCCCTTTCTCCTCCCTCTCTGCTCCAGAGACCAAAGAATCATAGAATGAATCATAGAATCACAAAATGGTTTGAGTTGGAAGGGACTTCAGAGATCATGAAGTTCCAACCCCCCTGCCATGGGCAGGGACACCCTCCACTAGCCAGGTTGCTCAAAGCCTCATCCAGCCTGTCCTTGAACACCTCCAGGGATGGGGCATCCACAGCTTCCCTGGGCAACCTGTTCCAGTGCCTCACCACCCTCATAGTGAAATGAAATATTGGTCCTCATTCCAAATTAGCTGGCAATTTCCCTCAAGTTCATGACCTAAAAGTTAATGTTATTAAAAAATTAATCTAATTAATCTAAAAGGGAGAGGTTCTACCAGAAGGTGATTAGACATCTTTGCTAATAGCAGTGCTGTGTTCTCTTCCCCTCAATTGTTAAAACATTCAAAAATATGTGTTCCACTCTATCCATTCTTGGTAGCTAACAGCAATATAAAGTTGCCATTGAAAAGCAGTGGTGAGCACAAGAAACATGCTGCCACAACACTTTCACACATGATATGACTTTATGAGAAAAACCAAATGGTTAGTCCACAAATTAAATAGTTTCCCTCAAAGTAAAAGTTTGAAGTCTTATTTTCATTAATATTATTCAGATAGATTTGTTATTCAGGATGAAAGCCTTATACTCCACCTATTTAAGAAAACACACCTGGAAAAGATGAAAAGTCATTTTGCATTGCGGTGTTTTACCTTCCCAGACCTGAATTGGTGTGGTCTCTTTTTAGCAGAGGATAAATTACCATTAAAATATTAAAGTAAGAAATAGTTACCTAAAGCTAATGTATGGACAGATACTATGTGAGGCAGCTGTCAGTAGGAACTAGCAAAGTGAACCCTCTTAATTCTTATTGAAAAGCTAAGAATAAATGCTATTTCAGTGTATGCAACTCCTCCAGTCATTCTTCAACATTTTTAAATTGTTAAGTTTATAGATGGATGCTACTGACGACTTTTGCATGCTAAAAGCATTTAAATTTTTTGTTAAAACACTTCTCTGTCATCCTTTAAAATGAACAAAACAAAAAACTACTGTTCCTGTGGCATTAGCTCTCTTGGGGCTCCAGCAATAAGAGCACAATCTTCCTAACCTAGCGGCAAACCTGGTAAAAAGTAAAACATTTCTAATACGAAGACATTTCAATTATTCCACTTTGTGCAACCTACCAATTTTCCTTATTAATCTTCTGTGAGCAAACTGAGAGACTCAACTTTCATAGTCTCTTTAAGCATGATGAGAAGCACTCCACTGCTGTTCTGACACATTTCTCAGTAAAGCCACTGGTAAAGATTACCTGAGTGGGACCAGAAAATAACATGGAAAACTTCTCTGCTGCTTAATTTGGGGGCTGAATTTAATCCAAACTGTTTTCAAAGTACTACTAGTTAAAACTATAGACAGGCTCAACCAAATCAGCAGCAGAAAACACCAAGCCAAGAGGCCCAAGAGCCACCAGCCTTCACACCAGCAAAACCACAAATATTTACCAAGCATCTGTGTGAAGGGCAACCCGGTGTGCATTTGGCTTTTTGGGTGGTATTTTTTTAACCTTTGATATTGGTAGCAGTGAAGCTCGTAAATAAATTATAAAACTGCCAAACACAGAAGGGGCATCATTGCATGGCCTTGACACTAATTGTGTGCCAGTTACTGTTACCAATTGCCAAACATCATCAAGTGCATTCATGTCACTTGGCTTGTCCCTACAGACACAATGTATGAATGAGGTACAAGAATGATTATCAGAAGCCCTACTTTGCAAGAGCATAATGGGATAGCTTTATCTTATAGGGAAGGGAAACACTGTCATTAGTAAATGCTTCAAGTTTCAAGTAGGCGAGCCTGCAACTTGAACTTGCAGAAACTGCCTGAGACAGTATCTTCACTGAGGTCATAATATACACATTTCTCCATTTACAGATAAATCAAGAAGTAAACAGTGTATCAAAGCTCAGAAGAGATTCAGTAGTACAGGAAACCAAACTAAAATACTGGCTATTTGCATTATTTAGCAGCCATCTGTAAACTAGTGTGCTCTATTAAATTTCAACAAATTCTTGATGATTTAATACTATAGATATTTTGACTGTGCTTCCTTGATCGATAATAGTAATTTTGGTACACTCCCTTCATATTTCTAATTAGGACTTTGAAACAAGAACAGACACTGTTCTTCTCTGGAGGGGATGTCCCTCAAACTCTGTAATGCTGAGAGAAAGACCGCTCCCAAAATCTTTCCCAGGTTTCACACAGTTTTGAGCAGCAAGACCCTGGCAGCAGAATCAGTGTCATATGGATTAAATTAGTGTAGACAACTAGTAAAGCTAATAACCCACATATTTTCTTATTGAATTCTGTCACTTTAATTTGAGGTGCTCTCTAATAATCTCAGATATGAATTACAAGGTTGAAAGGAATCACCCTTGTAGGAAGGTATGGCCTTAGCAGTCAACTCCTCTTTACCATTCTTCACAGCTACCCAGAGTTAAGGCCACTCCGTTTATAATGCATGCAAGTACAGTAACCTGAGTTCTTCCATACCATCCCGCATAATTCGGTAGCTCTGACAAAGAGCAGCTCTACTTCGACTATAGCAAAAGATGACATAGGAATACCCACTTGTGCTAAGTCTGCAGAGGGCACACATAAGATAAAAATGCATCTATTTGATTCTTAACAATAACTTCTTTTGGGTGCAAGTTATGTGGCAAGTAATGAGCCAGAGACATCTCCCAAGCATCCACAAAGTGCACAGCAATTCCTGAGAACATTTTCCTCATGACAGAATCAAGCTGAAAGGAATACCAGTCACTGTTAAAGAGGCTCACTTCTGGCCCAAGCTCCTGAACATTAGCGGTTCTGATGACGATTAAAGTCTTAGGGCTGCGATCCAGCAGTTGAATAATTGATCTCCGAATGTTCCTCAGCCGCCGGATATACACTTCCACAGGGAAAGTGCTGAAGTGGGACCATATAGTTATGGCTATCACCGTGTTTCTCCCACCCACTATGCCATTCAGTTCGTTGGCAATGTAGCGCAGTTCACTGCTAAAGACTGTTGAAAAGCGAATGGGTGGCCCATGACAGCGGAACTTCAGTAGGATGTTGTGCTTCAGGTCCACAGACATGAAAGGGCCCACATTCTTAGGACTCCCCAGGTTGAATTCCACTAGATCTGAAAACCCAAGAACAAGCATTAGTGAAAGATGGCATAAGAGATTAAAGCTACCGACAAGATGCTAAGACTATAGGGCAAAAGTAGCAGTAGACAAAGAAATTTGAAAATAAGTATAAGAACTCTAAAATGGAACAGATGAGAGTCATATATGTGCTAGTTGCATATTTGAGTGGAGTTACGGGTAGTAAAATTTGCAAGATGGCAGACTTCATCTTCACAAGACTGTCAAATGCCTTTTCCAATTTTCCCAAACTATTTTCTTCTCTCTCTCATAAAAAATAAATTTTCTAAATAGACTCCTTCAGTCACTGTCACCCTATGAACTCAGTGTTCATGGGAACCCTTCTGGAAACTTCAAGACTCCATACAAATTTAAAAACAACTTCAACACGTAGGCAATAAGGAGTCTCAAAGTCTGTGTTCCAAAACAACTTAACTGCTTTAGGGGTATGGGGTGAGGGAGGAATATCTAATTGGCTACTGAAATTCTGTTTTTTAAGTTATAAGGGGCCCTAAACCAATCAGCAGTAATGGATGTCATTTGCTATTTCATTGCAAAACGACTTGACTAGGATGCTGAAAAGCCTTATGCAGGCACCCTAAGTGACATCTGCCGTGCCCCTCAGGTGGCCACCTTAACTCACAGCCACAGCAGTGGTCCTCATCAGCAAAATATTTTGCAAAGGCAACAAAGTCCTATTTCCAAGGCCTACGTGTTTCCAGCGTCTGCTCAAACATTTAACTAATGGCCTTTCTGCCAGCACTTATGATGAAGTTTTGTCTTTCCTCTTCCTTTGTTTTGTCATTGGCATTCAGTGAGATCAACTCCGTGTCTGAAATGTGAGAAATAAAGCTTTGCAAAGGTCTTTCAGGAAAAAAACGAAATTTAAAAAAAAATAACCTGGAACAAACGCTGTCAGATATTCAAACCACTGCCTTATTGTAGAGTCTCCAAACAAGTGGATTACTTTTCCTTGTAAGCATTCGGTTATATCATCTGACTTGTTAAAATGATGGATCCAATGTGTTCTGGACCTCCACTGGTCTTCGTAATAATAACCAGAAGGGGAAACTGTGGGATCACCAGCTCTGTCCATACTGCCTGAATCTGGAAGAGGAAAATTATTTGAAATTAACGTACAACAAAACCATCATCCATAAACTTCATGGGCACATAGCCAGTGGTGTATGAACATATTCCCTAGTTTAAAGTGAAAGAGTATGATGTACCACATAAGTTCAAAATCTTGGTGTGTCACACTTCTATAAGCCCAAGTATTTCACCTCCTATTTCTGCAGCAAAACCTGTAACTACTGACAGAGTCAGTGTGCTGGTTTTGGCTGGGATAGAGTAAATTTTCTTCGTAGTTGGTACTATAGGGCTATGTTTTGGACCTGTGATTAAAACAGTTGATAATACAGGGATGTTTTTGTTATTGCTGAGCAGTGCTTATACAGAGTCAAGGCCTTTTCTGCTGCTCACCCCCCCCCCCCATCAGCGAGTGGGCTGGGGGTGCACAAGAAGTTGGGAGGGGACAGAGCTGGGACAGCTGATCCCAGCTGACCAAAGGGATATCCATATGATGTCATGCTCAGCAATAAAAGCTGGAGGAATAAGAAGGAAGGGGGAACATTTCGAGTGATGGCATTTTGTCTTCCCAAGTCACTGTTACATGTGATGGAGCCCTGTTGTCCTGGAGATGGCTGAACACCTGCCTGCCATTGGGAAGTAGTGAATTAATTCCTTGCTCTGCCCTGCTTGTGCACGCAGCTTTTGGTTTACCTGTTAAAGTGTCTTTATCCCAACCCAGGAGTTTTCTCACTTGTCCGATTCTCTCCCCCATCCCACCAGGGGGAGTCAGCAAGCAGCTGCTCATTGCCAGTTAGGGTTAAACCACACCAGCTGCTGCACAACTATAGTCTAACTTGGTTTAAATTAAACGGTATCTCTGATGACAAAGCAAAAAACCCGTAAATATCTGACATCTTTCACACTTAGACAGAAGTGCTCAACCGTGGCTGCTCGCAAAAGGTGCAGAGGAGCAGGGGCAGGCAGGCCAGCAGGGTACCTCCTCCGCGCCGCCCGGGCGCCCGCACCCCCC